TCAGAAACTACAGGAAAAGCCGACAAGTTTCAATCCATTTATCAAAGCACTTCAAGACAGATGAAACAGCAGAGCTACTTAGTGAGGAATGTCTCTCTTTCTGGGTGTCCAGAGCATTTCAGTAAATAAAAAGCTCTTTAAAAATAAGTCAATACAATGGAATCCCTTTTGCCTTTTGCCAGCACTTGTATTACACTTACACCCAAATGACCCTCCTACCTATAATACTGCAGCATTTACATACACATCAAATGGGTGCTTTTCACTTACATAATACATTTAATCCAAGGATTACAGAGCACATAATATATTAAACATTACAACACCTCGTGAGGTAGGTTAGCATTAATGAAGTTGCAGTGGGTAAACTGAGGCACAGGCTACCTTTATGACTTGCCTGTGGTCCCACAGGCAATCAGCGGAAAAGTCATTAAGACACTCTTCAGACAAACAGCAGACACATATGCACAGAGTTGTATGGGTAAAACAGACTAATCCATGTTTTCAAAAGCAGCTTTAACTACCCTTCTAGAGACACTGAGGTCCTGATTTTCTGAGGGCAGGAGAACAAAAGGCAAATAGAAGATAAAATGAACAGAAAGCAAATATTTGCTGTTAGAAATAACGTTTTTTTTTGTATGCCAAATTGCGTACACAAAACAAGAGGCATTCAAAACTGAACAACACTTTAGATGCTGGTCTCCAATAATTTGATTTTCTGAGTAAAGATTTTTCGAGACCTGCAACAGGGGTTTTGTTAGGATTTTGTTCAATAACGTCGGTTTATATTTAGCTTTCGTATAGCAGATAGAGAAAAAAAAAAATATCTTTGGTTAAGGTCTTTGAGCCAAGCATCTCGGATAAAATTTTCAAAAGCACTCAACAGTGGCTTTTGAAAACAGAATTAGGCTAGTTGCTGAGACAAGCTTTGAAAGCTACCCCCTACCTCCTTTAGCATTTTAACTGAGAGCTGATTTCCTCAGTTATGGTACAGTTCCTCGTTTTAGTCTCCCCATCTCATGGCCTTCACCAGTATCGCTAAGTCAAGTTGGAATTAAAACCAGGAAAACAAGCAGGAGACTGGGAGATGCAGGAGCTTGTGGTCATGACCTCCCCAGCATGTCTGCCGCTTGAGAGTGGTGTAGCTGGACACAGGGATGCTCCCTGGGTGGCTCCCACTTTCCAGCCAGCCTTTGTTCTCTTTGTGGGAGCACTGGCTAATAGAGGTGTACACCCTCCACCTGATGGTTAGGTAAGGCTATAATTACCTCAGTAATAAAGGTCTGATTCTTCCCTGCTTTGCACCTCCTTGACTGGTCAGGAATACTTGTCTAAAGTGGGTGCAAAATGCTACCAGATCAGAAAGATGACACTTTACATCAATGGAAATGACCAGGTGTAAGGAACAAAGGCCTACATAACAATGCTCTCAACTCTGTTGTCCTTTAATTAAGTAGTTCCTTGGGCAATGACACTAATGAGGCCTTGTTTCCTCAGGGTTGGATTCTCTAGTATCTAAATGGGATGTGAGCTTTTCCTGGGAAGAGAGGTATTTATAATTTCTCCCTCCCAGGTAGTGTCCAATTTGGATGGATGTCACACTGCAGGCTTTCTCTTGGTGGGCACACCAGCAGGGCTTTCTCTCCTTTTGGCTGCTCATTTTCCTGAAACCTACAGGAATTTCGGAGAGCTCTGCATCTCTCTTAAATTTGGCTGCATTTGGTCAAAGGGCTCAAAGTTAGCAGGGGATAGGAAAACAAATGCACCAAATGAGACAGAACAAAGTCATAAACCTGTTTCTACTAAGAAGACAAGTTTAAATATTATTTTTTCTTACAATTAAGTTTTCTAGTTGTGTGATAAATTCATAGGGCATATTTTTTTTGTTGCTTCAGTAGGCATACCTGGCTGCAACTCCTGCAAGCATTATCAATAAAGGGAATATATACAAACAAATACACGCAAGCAGGGCATGCTGCTCAGGGAAGAGACAGCATTACTTAGATGGGTGCAGAAGACAATTGGAAATTTCATTAAATCCACAGAAGCAGTGATCAGGTTCACTGGAGATGGTGCTGACTGGACAAGGTCACGGGTCTGAACGGAGAAAGCAACTGAACAAAGAAGCAGCAAGAGAAGGTTTTCTTTGGGTTTGCTCCAGTCACAACATGGCAGCCAGTGGGGTGCATGCACCATAAAGCTGGGACATGCAGCTTTGCAGGCTTGGTGTTATTATCGACCTCTCTGGCCACAGGACAGCAGGGACAGCCTCCTTTCCTATACAGTTTTTAATGGCTCAGAACTGCTCAAGGCCTTTTAGAATGGATAAAACTTCCCCTTTCTAACACTGCTCTCTGGCAGGACAGACATCCAGCTAATGCTTTCACTTCACATATTCCTGAACATCCCATTAATAGGCACCAGCCTAGTGAGAAACCTGACATTGGCTTACAGAGTCCACACCCTTCATTGGATGTGCCACCACTGCAGCCTAATACCTCTTGTGATAAAGCCAAGGCTAAAAACACAGAGAAAGCATCGAGGCGGCACCCTGGGAATTGCAGGATAAAGCTGCAGCAGTTCCCCAAAACATCACAGTGCTTGGGTGGTGGAGAGGTACCAACTGTGGATGACACAGCTCCTCACACTTAGTTAACCTCACAGAATAAGCAACATGTGTAAGTTGATTTTTTTACAAAATTATAGCTCTCTGGGGAAAAGCACACCATCCCCAAATCCACCCTGAGATGCCCCTCTGACTGCAGATGCCGTTTTACTTCAGCTTGTGCACAACAGTCTCCCAAGCAAGTTTTCCGACATGAAGATGTAATCACGTCTGTGTTTGTAGCAGACAGAAAGCTGTGCAGACCAAGGGCTGGGAGCTCTCCCTCTCTGGGTCTGTCCCTGTTGAACTTGTCTGGCGTGAGATGGAGATAGAAGCAACAGATCCCAACAGTACCAAGCTGTTACGGCCGTACCTTCAGGAAAAGTCCAAGGATCTATCAGCGGACCTTCCTGAGCAACAGATCAATACGGAGCTTCGCATCAGCCGAGCCGTTATTCACGCCAAAGGCAGTTGTGTGGATGAAGGGATGAAGAGTGCACAAGTTCACCGGTTCAGTATATAAGCTCTTCCCCCCTGCCCCCCCCTCCTGTAGATGCCTTCATTATTTATGTGTGACAAATAAAACACAGCAGTTGAGGATGCTAAAGTGTTTCTCAACATGCACTTCTGTTTCCCGTTAGATCCAGAGCCCAGCAGTGTGCACCCATATCAGACTGCGGGTACGGTGAGGAGCTGGTGTGCTGCTCTGGCCACTGCTCCTAAAGACTGCTTAAGGTGTATAAAAAAAGCCGCTGCCAGGCAGTAGTTGATAAAATA